TGTAATGGATATATATATCCAAATAAATATATATATTGTGTATATAATATATACATCATAACATCAAATTGAATATATTCATTATGTACAGCTTATTGCATGTCAGTTATGTTGTAATAAAGCTATAACAAGGAAAAATAAAGCAATGCTGATAAAAATGCAAGGAGAGGGGCTCTTGGGTGCCTCAGACAGTTAAGCATCCGACTTTTGATTTTAGCTCAGGTCATGCTTTAATAGTTCATGACATTGAGCCCCACGTCAGGCTCTACGCTGACAGTATGAAGCCTGTTTGGGATTCTCTCTCCCTCTCTCTCTCTCCCCTTCTCCTGCTCTCTCAAAATAAATTTACTTAAAAAAAATCTTTAAAGAAAAAATATGAGGAGAGTTTCTGGTCTGACCTGTAAAGAGCTTGGAAGTCCTAACTCCTCAGAAAAAGAACAAAAAAGCTGAAGTAAAAAAGCAATTCTCCTTAGATTCAGAGAACTCAGGTCACAGGGCAAACTGCTACCCTGACACTGGAGAGAGGGGTGGATACAGAATCACAGCTTACTGGGAGCAGAGGCCTAGAAGCAGATGACTGAAACTGGAGCTAGTACTGGTAGGACACTTAAACTGTAATGGAAAAATTGCTGGAAGCTCAATAGGAACTAGTTTGAGAATTCAAACTCTGGAAGAGGGAGGTAAACAGTCTTAGAGGAGCCCCATGCTTTTGTGAGTTTTACCTCCAGAAGTCCCACCAGATTCTCAGGGGTAAGATTGGGTCAGAACGCTCATGCTTCTAGCACAGGGAGGGGAAGTAAGCATTCTGACATAGGCCCAAAGCCCTTGGTTCTTAACACCTCACCCTCAAGGAAAACTATTTTACCAGATCTTAAGTGACCTGGGTTTAACCTGGGGGAAAGGAAATGCCTAACTTTAGCCCTTTCTGGCCTTCCTGTCTTGCCCATGGGGAGGGGAAGCAAAGAAGAAGCACATGTGTATGCCACATCCCAGGGACACAGGCTCACTAAAAGCCTGAGACCTAATCATAGGAGTATAGGATGCATTTTCTAACTCCTGCTCCTTACCACCACATCAACTGGGCTTCTGTCTTATAATGGGATTATACCTAAAAGCACTGCAAGCCTCAGACCCTGTTTAAGAAGTGGGAGAAAAACACAAAGACAATAGGGAAGAAAAAAGACACTGGAGAAAACTGCTTCCTCTGACAGCATAGCTACTGCAAACAGTAAACACAGTTGTTAGAGTTATCCTAGCTGGATAAACATAAAACCTCATGCTAAAGGTCCATCTACCTTAGTTCCTTTCACCCAATATATAATATCCAATTTTCAACAAAAAATTTCAAGGCATGCTAAAAGGCAGAAAACAAAGTTTGAATGGACAAAGCAAGCATTGGTACCAGATTCAGATATAGCAGAATGTTAGAATTAGCAGACCAGAAATTTAAAAGAACTATGATTAATACATTAAGGGCTCTACTGGAAAAAGTAGACAGCATGCAAAAACAGACTGTTAATACAAGCAGAGAGATGGAAACTCTTAAGAATCAAACAGAAATGATAGAAATAATAAAAATGAAGAAAGCCTGGATACGGCTGAACAAAGGATCAGTGAGCTTGAAGATCTAGCAATAGAAACTTCCAAAACTGAAACACACAGAGAAAAACTAATGAAAACATTGAACAGAACTGTGGGACAAAGGTGTAACATATGTGTCACTGGATTACTGGAAGGAGAAGGAGAGAAAGGAATAGAAAGAAATGTTTGAAATAACATGACAATTTTCCAAAATTAGCGACAGATATCAAACCACAGATCCAGGAAGCTTAGAGAACACCAAACAGGAAAAATACTAAAAACCTGTATTTATCTATGCATATCATATTCAATCAGCAGAAAACCCAAGACAAAGAGAAAATCCTGAAAGTAATCAGAGAAAAGGAATGGGCGAAAAGATGACTAGGAATCCATATAAGACTATGATACAATTAAGAATGCTCATTTCAGGTAAAGACTATGAACTACTGGTGGTACCAATATGCAAGTATGTTTATTATTTTTTTTAGAAATGCCCAGGAGCCTAGGTCTAGGACTGAAGAAGGTAAATAGCTTGGACTAACCCAGGGCTATAATTTTGCTAGGCAGGTACAGTAGAAGGAGAGTGCTTAATGGGAGTTAAAAGTAATGGCAGGAGTGAGGTTGATGTATGGTAGCTACACGAGGAAGGTAAAGGCAGGAGTGGGCTGATTACAGGTCAAGAGACTAACACCCTTAAAGTTGAACAGGTGTAGTAATGGGAAAGAGAAGGCTGGAAAATAGTTTGTAGTCAAATAGCTGAATGGATGGCATTAAAATTTCAAAAGTAGGGTACCTGGGTAGCTCAGTAGATTAAGCCTCTGACTCTTGATTTTAGGTCAGGTCATGATCTCACACTTTGTGAGATGAAGCCCTGAGTCGGGCTCCGGGCTGACAGCATGAAGCCTGCTGGGAGTTTCTCTCTTCCTTTCTCTCTGCCCCTCCCCTGCTTGCCTGCATGCCTCTCTCTCAAAATAAATAAATAAACAAACAATAAAAAAATTTCTAAAGTAAAATAGTTCTGGTAGATAAGGTCCAGAGTATGACCAGGGGTTTTCAAAATGGAGATGAAGGAATTTGGGTGGGATTGGTTTCTGATTTGAATAATTCTTTCCTTTCTTCATGTTATCAAATAGGTTGCCTATATCAGGTGGAAACATATTAGTAGCACAAGAGCTATCCAACTCATAAATTAACTCAAGTGGTAAAGAATATCATGTGGTAGGTACATTTTCCCTCTTAGTTTCACATAGGGTCATATACCTGATGTAAAACTTTATACTATGTTCAGTACAAAGCAATATGAAGAAGGCCTACTTCTTCATAAAATACAAGAGGGCATACATTTGATATATGGAAAACTGGGGAAGTATAGTGTGCATTTGTTTCTTTTAGGTTGTCATAAAATTGTGATTTGTGATATCAGTGGGGCAGGAAAATGATATATGTGAAGGCAGTTCAGCAGGATCTGAATTTCAAAGAAAATAATAAATGGACGAATGGGAGGCAGATCTGTCACCAAAAAAAAGCCCAAAGGTGCAGGACTGTTGGAGTAATCATCGTAAGAACATCTCTCTGCATGGTGAATTTTACTTATGTGACTTTCTAAAAAAAAATTTTTTTAAACGTTTATTATTGAGAGACAGAGAGACACAGAGTGTGAGCAGGAAAGGGGAAGAGAGAGGAGGAGACACAGAATCTGAAGCAGGCTCCAGGCTGTCAGCACAGAGCCCGATACAGAGCTCGAACCCACAAACCGGGGGATCATGACCTGAGCTGAAGTTGGACACTTAATCGACTGAGCCACCCAGGCACCCCAACTTATGTGACTTTCTAAATGAAAGTTCTCCATACAATTAAAGTTGCTTTTATTTTAAGATAAAGAGAATGGGAACATTATTGATCTCAGAAGTATTACCTGCAGCTGCTTTAATCATACAGCCTTTCCTATCCACTTTTCTGCCAGAACTTATAGGTAAAATGAGTGGGTTTCATTTCAATGTTTTACAGTTCTTTGCTTGACCATGTAATGAATATGGTCAATGACAGGAAGCAAGAGGAATTGAATAATTCACAGATTAGGTAGACAATACCTAAATCACCAAGTTAATCCTAAGCCTCTGATTAATTACATCTATGCTTTAGAATTTTTAAAAAACAGACTTTCTTGTTTAGAGCAGTTTTAGATTCATAGCCAAATTAAGTAGAAAGTACAGAGAGTTCTCATACATCTTCTGCATTCCCCTCCCCATAGCCTCCCCTACTATATACATCTACATTTTTATAATGATATGAAAGCAGATGGGCTTGACCAGGCACTCATATACATTCATAATAGATGTGATGCATTGTCCAGATATTTTCTTCAGGACTGAGGCACTTATTCCCTGAGCTCCTCAGTGTTGGCTGCTGATAGCTCACAGCCGGGTTCCTACCTGGACACTGTTTTCAGCCAAAGGGAGCTGGCTCCTACTAGCTATAAGCCTTTCCTGGAGACTACCTGCAGGCAAAGTCTGATTAAAGCAGGAATACAAACGCCTGGCTTCTCTGTCTCTATTTGAGCCATTTCTGAAGGGCCAATAGCTTTTGCTTTGGTGTTGAGTCTAAATTAAATCTCTGCATGCAAATCTCTGGGTTAGGGTCTGTTTCCACATGTCTCAAATATGTGAAGTTTCCTAACCATACACAAAATGTTGGTCTTGCAGTACTTAACTGGGGTAGTAAAAGTATGAGACTATAACCAGAACACCTAGCTTTGTGCTGTTCCAGTACTTCATAGCTCTATGATTAGATAATTTAATTTCACTAAGCTTTAGTTTCCTCATCTTTACATGGGGGGGTAATTCCTCATGCAACAAGGTTATTATGAGGACCCAAGCAGGGATACGCCCACACCCATACACAATATAATATTCTTATTATAATTTATATGAACTGGCAATTTAAAAAACTAAGCCTAATTATTTTTACACTTTGTTATTTCACTGAAGCACAGAAAGTCAATATTAAGACTATACCAAAAAAAAATCATTAATTATTTACTATATGCTTGACCTTCAGTTATGTACCAGGTATACATGATGAGAGGGTTCTTGACCTTAAGGGATGCCAGTCTAGTATAGAGAGGCATTTAATATAGAGACGTGAGCTCAAGTATTATATATGCTAAAATGGCGGTAGTATGCCTTATGCCAAGAAACTATGGGAAGGTATCAGAAAAGCCTTCATAAAGGAGGTGAATCTTGAGGTGAGAATCTTTTAGACAAGGTATTTTATTCTCAGTAAAGTTTTTTGAGCACTAAAGGATACTTTAATCACTTCTAAATAATAACAACTTGAATGTAACTTATAAGTATTTTGTGAGTATCTATTATGCAGAATATTTTCACTGAAAATTTTACAACTGAGATTTGTTTACTTACTGTTATCTTACGAGGACAGTCATTAGAACACAGACCACTAAGAACTGTGGAAAAATAAAGAAAAGGCTATTACTACTATATTATTACTTTAGCTTATATTTAAAGTTAACTCTAATTTTTCCCCTATAATCTATTAACATGCTCTACTGAATCATAATCACAGGCAGAAACCAAATCAATTCCTTTAGATCTGAGTAAATCAAGTTTCTATTGTTTATTTTATACTGCTATTTTAAAAGCTTTTATTAAGCAGTTAAGATGTTGCTGTTTTGTGAAATATACAGGTGAAATAATTAATTATATTTATATCATACTATACCTACTGTTGGTTCTATTTTCCAAGTATAAGACTTAGAATCTGACAGAAGTGCTAAATGCAAACCAATTAAAATGTATGCTGAGAAAAACATTTTATATCTCATATTAGACTTTTTCCCACTTATCTAGTCAAAGTTGTTGGGTCAAAGATTTTGGGCACCCTTGATAACTATTATGGAGAACACAACTATAAAGAATTGATGGGCCTATAACAAATACACAAAAATAATTTAATGACACATTTATTCTATGATCACCAAAAAAGAAAAGGTTAGAGTATCTGAATATTCTTTATATAAGTAACATGAGTTTTGAAATATAATTATATTACCACCTCTTCATGTGAAGTGATACCTCTATAAGAAAGTGGACATTACCACTCCTGTAACTTTATTCAACACAGTGTTGAAAGTCCTAACCTCAGCAATCAGATAACAAAAAGAAATAAAAGACATCAGGGGTGGCTCAGTCATTAAGTATCCAACTTCGGCTCAGGTCATGATCTCATGGTCCGTGAGTTCGAGCCCCATGTCAGGCTCTGTGCTGTCAGTTCAGAGCCTGGAGCTTGCAGAGGATTCTGTGTCTCCCTCTCTCTCAGCTCCTCCCCCTCCCCTGCTCTCTGTCTCTCAAAAAAATGAATAAATGTTAAAAAAATTAAAAAAAAAAGAAACAGAAATAAAAGACATCCAAATTGGCAAGGAGGAAGTCAAACTTTCACTCTTCACAGATGACAGGATATTCTTTGTGGAAAACCCAAAGGATTCCACAAAAAACTGCTAGAACTGATACATGAATTCAGCAAAGTCACAGGACATAAAATCAATGCACAGAAATCAGTTGCATTTCTATACACCAAAAGAAGCAGCAGAAACAGAAATCAAGGAGTTTATCTCATTTACAATTGCACCAAAACCCATAAAATACCTAGGAATAAACCTAACTAAAGAGGTGAAAAATCTATACACTGAAAACTATAGAAAGCTTATGAAAGAAATTGAAGACGCAAAGAAATGGAAAAACATTCCACGCTCATGGACTGAAGAACAAATGCAGTTAAAATGTCGATAGCACCCAAAGCAATCTACATATTCAATGCAATCCCTATCAAAATAACACCAGCATTCTTTACAGAGCTAGAACAAACAATCCTAAAATTTGTATGGAACCACAGAAGACCCTGAATAGCCAAAGCAATGCTGAAAAAGAACACCAAAGCTGGAGGCATCACATTTCCGGACTTCAAGCTGTTTTACAAAGCTGTAATCATCAAGACAGTATGGTACTGGCACGAAAACAGACACACAGATCAATGGAACAGAAAAGAGAACCCAGAAATAGACTCACAAACATGGTCAACTAATCTTTGACAAAGCAGGAAGGTGTATCCAATGGAAAAAAGACAGTCTCTTCAGCAAATGGTGCTGGGAAAAATGGACAGCAACATGCAGAAGAATGAACCTGGACCACTTTCTTACACCATGCACAAAAATAAACTCAAAATGGGTAAAAGACCTAAATGTAAGAGAGGAAACCATCAAAATCCTAGAGGAGGAAATAGGCAACAATCTCTTTGTCCTCAGTTGCAGCAACTTCTCACTTGACATGTGTCCAGAGGCAAGGGAAACAAAAGCAAAAATGAACTACTGGGACCTCATCAAAATAAAAAGCTTCTGCACAGTGAAGGAAACAATCAGCAAAACTAAAAGGCAATCGATGGAATAGGAGAAGATATTTGCAAATGACATATCAGATACAGGGTTAGTATCCAAAATCTATAAAGAATTTATCAAACTCAACACCCAAAACACAAATAATCCAGTGAAGAAATGGGCAAAAGACATGAATAGACACTTTTTCAAAGAAGACATCCAGATGGCTAATAGACACATAAAAAGATGCTCAACATCACTCATCATCAGGGAAATGTAAATCAAAACCACAATGAAATACCACCTCACACATGTCAGAATGGCTAACATTAACAACTCAGTCAACAACAGATGTTGGCAAGGACGTGGAGAAAGATGAAGTGCTTTTGCACTGCTGGTGGGAATACAAACTGGTGTAGCCACTCTGGAAAGCAATATGGAGGGTCCTCAAAATTCTAAAAATAGGACTACCCTATGACTCAGCAATTGCACTACTAAGTATTAAAGGATACAAAAACACTGATTTGAAGGGGTACATGCCCCCAATGTTTATAGCAGCACTATCGACAATAGCCAAATTATGGAAAGAGCCCAAATGTCTACTGAGTGACAAATGGATAAAGAAGATGTGGTATATATATACAATGGAATGTTACGCGGCAATCAAAAAGAATGAAATCTTGCAATTTGCAACAACATGGATGGAACTAGAGTGTATTATGCTAACCAAAATAAGTCAGAGAAAGACAAATATCACAGGATTTCACTCATATGTGCAATATAAGAAACAAAACAGATGAACACAGGGGAAGGGAAGCAAAAATAATATAAAAACAGAGAGGGAGACAAACCATAAGAGACTCTTAAATACAGAGAGCAAACTGAGGGTTGCTGCTGGGGTGCTGGGTGGGGTATGGGCTAAATGAGTGATGGGTACTAAGGAGGGCACTTGTTAGGTTGAGCATTGGATGTTATATGTAAGTGATAAATCACTAAATTTATTCCTGAAATCATTATTACACTATATGTTAACTAACTTGGATTTAACTTAAAAAAAAAAAAAGTGGCCATTATGTGCTATTAAATATTCTCTATGTTATGCATTAAAGAGGGATGGCATACAGTTGTGCTTGGTAAACATGAATTATTTCAATAAAAACTGTAAATTTTTCATTCAAACATATCCATAGGAAAAAGGTATGTTACTTAGGTTAGGTATATAAAGTATATATAAGGTCTATACAGTATATACAGGACACCAGAAAATAAGCATGGCATACTTCACCACAAAGAAGATACCTGTTTGTTGACTATAGTGCACTTACATGAACTACAATCTGAGGAGACAGTAAACTAAACGTTTTATATTTGGAAAACAGTTTTCATTATTTAAGTTTCTTATCATAGCACAGTGCCTGGTTCTCTTTTATTCTCAAACTTTCCACGACCTAACTTTTTCTTTGTTCCTCTCTTCCCTCAACTCCAGGCAGATACTGGTCATTCTTTTCTTCTTGTCACAAAATGATTTTCATAAACTTCATTAAAATCATTATCTTGCTGAATAGTAATTATTTTCTCACAAGTCTGTCTTTGAACTAGTATGTAAGCTCTGCATCATTTTCTCCTTATTTTCTCAGGGTCTAACCCAACATATTTGCTCAATAAGTACCTGTTGAAGGAGGAAAAATATGGATTATTCAGTAAATGGTCCTGGATAGTTGTCTATTTGGTGGAAAATAAACATAGATTTTAACTCATAACATAAAAATTATATCTGGCAAAGACACAAATAATATAAAGAACTCATATTTTATTTTTTTAATTTTAATTTTTTAAAAAATTTACACCCAAATTAGTTAGCATATAGTGCAGCAATGATTTCAGGAGTAGATTCCTTAGTGCCCTTTACCCATATAGCCCATCCCCCCTCCCACAACCCCTCCAGTAACCCTCAGTTTGTTCTCCATATTTATGAGTCTCTTATGTTTTGTCCCCCTCCCTGTTTTTATATTATTTTGTTTCCCTTCCCTTATGTACATCTGTTTTGTCTCTTAAAGTCCTCATATGAGTGAAGTCGTATGATGTTTGTGTTTCTCTGATTGACTAATTTCACTTAGCATAATACTCTCCAGTTCCATCCACGTAGTTGCAAATGGCAAGATTTCATTCTTTTTGATTGCTGAGTAATACTCCATTGTATGTATGTGCATACACACACACACACACACCACATCTTCTTTATCCATTCATCCATCGATGGACATTTGGGCTTTTTCCATAATTTGGCTATTGTTGATAGTGCTGCTATAAACATTGGGGTGCAAGTGTCCCTTTGAAACAGCACACCTTTATCCCCTGGATAAATAACTAGTAGTGCAGTTGCTGGGTCGTAGGGTAGTTCTATTTTTAGTTTTTTGAGGAACCTCCATACTGTTTTCCAGAGTGGCCACACCAGCTTGCATTGCCAGCAACAATGCAAAAGAGATCCTCTTTCTCCGCATCCTCGCCAACATCTGTTGTTGCCTGAGTTGTTCATGTTAGCCATTCTGACAGGTGTGAGGTGGTATCTCATTGTGGTTTTGATTTGTATTTCCCTGATGATGAGTGAAGTTGAGCATTTTTTTCATGTGTCGGTTAGCCATCTGGATGTTTTCTTTGGAGAAGTGTCTATTCATGTTTTTTGCCCATTTCTTCACTGGATTGTTTGATTTTTGGGTGTTGAGTTTGATAAGTTCTTTATAGATTTTAGAGAACTCTTATATTTTAATAGAAAGACAGGCCAATTAAAAATTGGGCAAAGCATCTGAATAGGCACTTTTCCAAAGTAGATACAGAGATATACAAAGCTCAGGAAAAGATGCTCAGCATCATTAGCAATCAGGGAAACCAAACCACATCCACAGTGCAACGCATATTTGCAATATCCAAGAGGTGGAAGTAACCCAATAAATGTCTGACAAATAAGTGGAAATAAATAAAATGTGGTATATATACACAATGGAACCTTATTCAGCTTTAAGAAGAAATCCTGTCACATGTTACAACATGAATGAACCTTGAAGACATTATGCTAAGTG